GGTGGTCAACCAATTGATGGTAATTTTGATTTATAGATGAATATTCTTGCATCATATAGGTTCATCTGAACTGTTCAGTTGATTATGTTATTCTAGAAACTGGTTAGCTTCATGAACATTTTGATTGGATTGGATGTGAATGATGACGGAGATTTCAGATGAGACGTACTATATCGACGAGAACGGTATGTTGCTGGATGAGCCGGCACAACAGGACTTACGTGCCGTAGAGTTCAATTTCTTGGACAACAAGAACATTTGTTGTGGTCTATGCGGAGAAATCGTGCCGTATGATCTGTTGATGAGTGAACATTTACCAACACAACACCCTGATGTTAGTGTTAATAACGGATTGATTATATCAACTTGAAACAGAGTTCATTTCATGTTGATATCTGCCCTGCATGTCGTTGTGAAAGTTGCTGTTTTTTTTTTTTTGAGAGAAGATTACAAATTTTAGATAGTTTAAGAGGAATATTTATTGAGAACATCGTATCTGGGAAAAGGCTGATTTCAAAAGAATGTAGTGTTATCGTCAGTTATTGTCATTGTGGGTGCGTTTTGGTTGAATTGTTTCATTGGTTCATTTGGGTCATTGAAAATAGACAGTTTGAAGGTGCTTGGCGATGGTGGCAGTATGGATTTCGAGGAGATTCCATATGAGGTGTGGCTGAGGGATAAGTTGAGTAGTGAGAAGAAGCATATGGAAAACGGATTCAGAAGTGCAGCTTATGATCCACTGCGTTTATCGCGTTCAACACGTGTTCTCAGACGTGTTTCGCAAGTTAGAGTGAATCCAAACGAAATGTCATTGGCACAATTGGATAATGCATTGCGCAAGAAGATGGTCGAGAAAATGGGACGAAAAGTATGTGGCATCGCTTTTGTTTTTTGTTTTGTTTTTTTGCGGTACCCATATTTATTGAGAACATTGTTTTTCTCAATTAAAATTGAAAATAGTTTGATTGCAATTCAATTTTGCAGGTGCCAGTAACGTTAGTGGATAAGCAGCATGCGCGATGTGGTATCTGTAATGCAGTGGTATCGTT